TGTTTTTTTTTTTTGTTTTGTTTTTTAATGCAAATTTTCACTATCGTTTTGCTATTCTCAAAGAAGTTTAGACATTTGAATATGAAAAGAGATTGAAAAGGATTGTGGTAGTATAGGTATGACACGTCATTAGGTTTGGGGTCTTTTCCCTAGATTTGCACCCAGTTGGGTTCTCTTTACGAGAGAGAATGGAGAACCCAAGCCGAAATTGAAAAGGAAATTCAAATGGACTTGGAATATAAAGTCTAAACAAAGCAAAACAACAAAACCTCAAAGTAATATCAAACAGATAAAAGCGCTTCTCCCAATATGACATGTTCGAATATCCAGAACTCGGCTAGCTTACAAATTTTAAAAATTTGAATTTCAGATGGCCCGGGGGGAGGGGGGGGAGCAGGTAGTGTAAGAAGGAGAAGCTCTATTTATATGTGGTGCCCTTGGTTTTCATTAAGGGTGTGAGATCAGATACCCTGCTACCAGAGGTCTTTTGCTGCCTTGCACCATTTTGGTTGTAGGTAGATCAGCCTGTCGTTCAGCCCTACTGAGTGGAAGAAAAAACAACCACTGCTCGCAGGGTAAAGATTGGAGAACAGAAACTAAAATTTTCAGGCTTTAACTACCCTTATCTTATTTCTCCTATTATTTCAAAACTTAATGAACGCCTTGGATGCCAGTCCAGAATCAAATCGGAGACCCCAGGGCTTCGGGCGAGCACTATACTCTTGATTATTGATACACTTTTTGTCTTCCAGAACGAAGAGCCTTATCTTCATTTCAGAACAAAATTGCCTCGGTTTACCTGCAGCTGGACGTTCATATGCTTCATGGTAAGGGTCGCTAGAAGAGAATTCACTGTATTGACTGTGAAACGGCACGGCAACTCTGCGGCATTGACGGAATTTTTTATCCCAATCACAGCGCACGGCATCACTGCTCATCCAATCAAATTACTCGGACACGCTAATGTAACGGTTCCAGTTTTTTTTCCTGATAAAAAACCGACTGTGAAACGGCACGGCAACAGTGTAGCGATGACGGCATCTTTTAACCCAATCACGGCGCACGAGATCACTGCTCATCCAATCAAAATACTCAGACACGATACCGTAACGGTTTCTGCTCTGTTATAACTCGTGGATACGTGAAGTGTAGAAAAGAGTTATTGTGAGGGACCTGAACAGACAAATGTGTCACTCACTCACTAAGGTGTTTTACCCATCTTATCAGTTCAATAGAGCATTTAAATCGAACAAATTACTTCTCTGCGTAATCCCGGAGGAAAGTCAACAAAATGCACAGAAAAGGCACAGGGTAGTATCCACGAGATCGTCAATGGCAGTTTGATTTTATCTTTTTTTCCCCTGATAAAAATCGATTGTGAAAGGGCATTGCGAAATTCAAAAATCCTAAAACCCGTTTAATCTTATCTTTGTCCCACGTCTTGTGTTTACAGTTGATGCTTGTGGTTGCAGCAGTACTAGGCGTGGTCTTCTACAGGGTGTCGGTCTATGCTTCCCTGATAACGAGTGAAGGTTATGAAGGCAACATGGGTGCAATCAGTATGGCTACGTCTGCTACCGCTGCCATAATCAACTTGGTCATAATTATTTTCTTGAACAAGGTACAATTAAATATCTTACTATTTTCTTCGAGTAAAAATCATTCAATCACAACTCGTAGCGGACGACAAAAATTTGCTGTACGGTTGAAAAATTGAAAAAAAAATGCATTTTATGTCGTAGCCACTTTGCATAAAAAGCACGATTTCTACGTAAAGTCGATCCTTGTTTAGAAAAAATAGTTCGTATAATCTTAGAAAAAGTGGCTGCGTTATGCCAACAATTAATACTAATAGATTTAAAGAAGAGATAACTAGGTAACAACTAGTGTGAGCTGCGTCGGTGTTTCTAATGAAACGGTAATGATAAAAAGGTCAATTATACATTTCTCTTTTATTCCGACGAAGGACTGGCGTCCGAAACGTCAGTAAGTTTTTTCATCTATTCACGGTGTATAATTTACCTTTTATCATTAATTTAAAAATAGTTTTTCTATTAGATTTTTAGATATTTTTAGTGTATTGATAGTTTTATATTAGTTTTAGTATTTTAGAATTCATTTATGTATTCTAATTGCGCATTTTTGATTTGTAATTTATCAATTGAATAAAGAGTTATTATTATCATTATCATCATTATTATTATTATTATTATTATTATTTATCTTGATTGGTAACATATTGGTTTTATTGTGTTATAGCTGTATGAGAGGTTGGCATTTATATTCACAAACTGGGGTCAGTCAATTTCCCTTATTTTTTCAAGTAAATGTTAGCCTGCGTCACATCCGGAATTTCCTTCGTAAATACGGTATTTACGAAGAAAATTCCGGATGTGACGCAGGCTAGAAAATGTTGGATGGCATGTATTGGCTTGGGGTGCAACAAGGGCAGATCCAACCAAAATTTTAAGGGGGGGGGGGGGGGGCTAACTGAGTTTCTTCCATCAACACGACGGAAAACAATAAAAAGGCATCTAATTCTTCAGTTGTTTTTTTTTCTGCTGATGGGGGGATCCGCCCTTGTGCAACCACACGACTCAATATCCCTTGAGATATAAATAACAATAAAACAGCCGCTATGTTGGTTGATCTAACAAGGAAAGCTATTGTCAATCAACAAAGCGGCTCTTTCATTGTTATATAATATATCTTAAGGGATTTTAAGTCATGTAGTTTCACTGGATTGTTCAAATTTGAACCTCGCAGCTTAGGTTGAATGCTTCTTCAGTTGATTGACTAGTGCACAGCCTATTTATGGAAAGTGGTGAATGTGATTCGAATCACTATCGTTGATGTGTCTACCAATATATTGATCAATATTTTTGACTTTAAAGAAATGCCAAGGACCCAGACACAGTACGAAGACAACTTCACCTTCAAGATGTATCTGTTCCAGTTCGTTAACTACTATTCTTCCCTGTTTTACATCGCATTTGGAAAACTAAAGTAAGTTTATAAATTTAACATTAACTAGTTTTTATAAACTATGACAAATTATTTCTTAAATTCCTTCCTTGCTTCCTTGCTTCCTTGCTTCCTT